TCAATACACGGCGTGCATATTCATATTTGCATGGCAATCAAGAGCTGGACAACATCCAACATGTCAATGGGGAATGGGAAGCAGGCAGTTTTGGTTTGGCGAAGACTGCGGAGCCCTGAAGTTGATGGGACCGTTGGGTGAGTCTTTGGTCCGGGGCATTGTCCTAAACACCTCACAAGAAGCCCAGATGGTGCCACATCGTGTGCTGCCAAGGAAACTGGGCATTGACCTGCAGTACAGGAAGGCTAGTTGCAAGCCCTGGCTGACAAACATCACAGAAGGGTTGGTTCTACGATGGAACCAGGCGCCTTGGCTTGATGTATGCGGGATGTTGTCATGATCATCTTCAACATCACTTGCTGAAGCAAAAGTGTGACAATAAGTCAAATAGAGCATGTCAATCATCAAATAGTAAGTCCAGTGCAGCTCTGGGTTAGATCCTGAGCATATTATGAGCAAGCTTGTACTGTCCAGGAACCTCCATTGCCAGCAAACATGGATTTGCGATGTGCCCTGCAGGAGAACTCCAACCATTTGGTGACTGCGCACGATCGGCTGGTGTCCGCATGGCGCTAAGTGAGCATCGGAGGTAGGAGCACGGCGTGGCTGGTTTGTCCCGCAAACCAAGCATAGGGACCTAATTTGCAAGTTGACCAGAAGCTTGCCTAAAACTTGTTTTACTTGCGGCTTGAGGCCGGCCTAAGATGTCCATGTGAGGTGTAGCAGTTCAGGCAAGCTTGAGGATCTCAAGCCTCGCTTTGAGGTGAACGGCGCAGAAGAGTTGGATGGGGTCATTTCTGAGGTAAAAAGCCCCAGCTACGAGGCTGCACGGAGTAGAAGGGCGGGAGCTGCTGTTGATATCACCTGCTTGTAGGGATGAGAACAAGTATCCAACGCGACATGTGTTTGCCACAGGCCTGACCGGTCGTTCACACAAGAACAAGGAAAGGGAACCATTTTTGATCTTTGGTCACAAGTTTGAAGTCAGGGTTGATCTGGTTGCCACGCTTGCTGCAAACCTGCTCCAGTTATTGGACACTCCAGTGCGATTCGGCATGATGCCTTTCGGTTGTTTACAATTTCCCTGTAATTGTAAACGCTTCGCGTTGCCCGCCTCGGCCCAGCCTAGTTTGAGGGAAGGGTCAGGAACACCGAAATCCAGTGTTGGGAAGGTCCGAATCCTGCGCCTGGGGCCTGGGCAGGGCGGGCTGGGCTGGGCCTTGCTAGGGCGGGTGGCTGGTTGGCCTGGCCTGAAGCCAGTCTTGGGTGGGCTGGGCTGTGGCTTGCTCGCGCGGGTTGCTGGTTGGGCTGGGCCTGAAGCTGTCTCCAGACAAGTCAGACAAGCCGGCCTCGCCTGGTTGGGCTGGGCCACAGGCTAGTCTCAGACACATCAGATAAGCCTGCGCTGGGCCTGAAGCTAGTCTCGGGCAGCTTGGCTGGACCTTGCTTGCGTGGGTTGTTGGTTGAGCTGGGCCTGAAGCTAGTTTACGGCGGGCTGGGCAGCCGCACTGAGGGGGCTGGGCTATATGGCTGGGCTGGGCCTGAGGCCAGTTTCAGACACGTCAGGCCAGCAGGCGGACTAGGCTGGGCTAGACGCTAGTTGAGCCCAGGCTGGCGAGGCCCAGTCTCGGCGCCTGAGGCCTGCGAGTCTCAAACAGGGTGGGGTTTGCTTAGGCGGGTTGCTGGTTGGGCTGGGCCTGAAGCTAGTCTCAGCCACGAGGCTGCGAAGCCATGGGTGGGTTGCTGGTTGCCTGGAACTTCGGCTGGGCGGGCTGAGGGACTGGGCCTGAGGCTAGTCTCAGGCTGGCATACCTTGAGACCGGGCCTGCTGGATGAGTTGGGGCCAGACACAAGCAGGAGGTCAAGGCCTGCTGGGGCACGTCAGACAGGCTTAGTAGCTGGCGTAGCTTGAGACCAGTCTCAGACACGTGATTTGAGGCCAGTCTCAGACACGTTCGAGAAACCTGACCTTGGTGGGAGCTGGCGGCCGGCCTAGGGCCCTGGGCTGGGCAGGCTGGGCGGGTTGCTGGTTGGGCTGGGTCACAAGGCTGCGAGCCATGGGTGGGTTGCTGGCTGCCGGGCAGCCGGACTACTGGGCTGGGCTGGGCTGAGCTGTGCTTGGGCGGGTTGCTGGATGGGCAAGGCCTGTTTCATGGCTGCCCGGCAGCCAGCACATGGCTTTGCAGCCTGCCCAGGGCATGCCAGCCCCCACCAACAGGCTCAGCCCAGGGCTGAGGGACTGGGCCTGAGGCTAGTCTCAGGCTCTGAGGGGCTGGGGTACGTCAGACAGGTTTAGTAGCTGGCATAGCTTGCGTGAGACACACTGACCTTGGCACGCTGGGCTGAGCCGGGCCTGTTTCAGACAAGCTTGGGCCTGAGGCTGGGTGGGCTGGGCTGACAGGCCTGGCCAGCAGGCGGGTTGCTGGTTGGGCTGGGCCTGAGCCTAGTCTCAGACACGTCAGACAGGCCTGGCCAGCAGGAGGTCTGCTTTTCAGGGACAAAAAGCATTTTTTTAGTAATTTCGACAAAAATGGACCCATGGAGCTGGACGCCGACGAACCCCGAAAATGTCAAGGCCCGCCGGACAGGATTTTGGGCCAGCCGACATGGGTGGGGGGGCACGGGGGTTGGGGAAAAAAGATTTTTTGGAGGAGATCTGAGCGCCCTTGGCCCCTGTGGGGCCGAGGGAATTAAGGGTTGAAAGCACGGCTCGGCCTGTTGTTATTTGAAACCAACACATTTGCTCTCATCCCGGCGGATTGTTGTTTTCGTTTTGTTGACGTGTCGCGGGCCCCATGAGGAAAAGCACTTCAAACTGAGGCCCTACTTTGGTGCTACACGTCCTGCACTACGGTATCGGACTACACTGACGATTCCGACTGGCCCGTTTGCTTGCCATCAGCTTCGCTCGTGAAGGGGGGACCCATGTTACAATGCTTGGTAGAAGCAGATGAGAACACAAGAAGTGGGAATCCTGTTCAACAATGTAGTTTTGAGGCGCAGCATGCTATCGCACTGTTTCTGAGCAGCCACAAGTGGCCGAAGAGGCAAAGCAAGCACTGCGCCTCTTTGGCCCAGCTGGAGCTTTTGGCGAAACGTGCCGGCGCATCTCTTGCCGGTGTGCGGCAAACGCAGACCCAGAGAATCAGCCGGATGTTGCGCGTGAACTGCAGTCAGACGACTGTGCATCTTCGACTGGCTAAGCCAGGCTTTTTCTTGTCCAAATTGGCTTCGGGCAGTTTGGGCGTGACGGGTAACTTCCGCTTGCACGAGAATAACTTTAAGGACATGCCGCAAAGAAGGCTTCTTTCTTCACGGGAGGCTGACCGCGGCGCCAGCTTTGGGAAGCCTCGGAACTTCTCCTCAAAGGGAGAGCGATTCCCAAAAGCACCAGGCGCCTCCAACGTTTTAGTTGTCTTCTGCGCCTCGGGATCACGTATCAGTTGTTTGAGACACGCCGCGGTGACACTTGGATGAATCGCCATCTAGAGCTTTGGTGCAAACTTGTTAGACTCTTGGCTTTGAGAACATGTCTCACAAATGAGTGACAAGGCTCTGTGAACTCAAGCGCATTTACAGGTACCAATGGTACCATCTTGGGAGGAGCGCACTATCAATGGCTAGTCCGACCAAGTGTTACACTGGGACAAGTTGATTCGTTGACGGCCCATCCGATCAATGCCACTCCCAAGAGCCAACGCAGAGGTAGCTCCTTTGGCGCGAGAAGACGCAGATTGAATTTCAAATTCCCCTCGCCTGCGTGGTGTAGTTTGCTGTGCCAGGATGACGTGAGCAGATTTGCTTCGAAGGGACCCTCAAGCTCTGGCATTTTCCCGCGTCATGCCAGGCGGCAAGTTCGCCGGATGGCTGTTACAGCCACTCGAAACTGACCGCAGTTGTCTCCAGTCTCACTGAGAAGCCTAGGATCCATTTGGTGAAAAGAAGCCGTCGTGTGTATGAGGTAATCAATCGACCACCATGACAAATGACGTAGATGACATGTTCAGTGGCGTCAGACACATCAGATCCTGCACAGTTGGTGCACAGCAAGTGATGCTGGCAATGTCCCCCACAGACTCGAACCCATCCAAATACTTCAATAAATGACAGTTCGTTTGGTCGCCCCAGTGTTTGTCACACCGTGAAATTGGGCAGTAGACAATCACCACAAACGAATACTATTGCGGCACCATGCCCCCAACAACCAGTTTACAGCATAGCTGAGTATTTCCCCAAAATAAGGGCCTCTCCAAATGGTGGGTTTACTCGTAGTTCTCTTTTAACCCATCTTACCACGGGGTGTCTGATGTGCAGAAGCATCTATGCGATAGCAGGGTACATCCTTCCACGCCAAGGCCATGGCTTGTGGAGGCCATGTTGTTTCAAGAATGGGTGATCGAGGCTGGAAGGAAACAGCTCCGTTCTTTTTTCCCTATGTGCTTGGTTGCTCTTTTCGTGACAGGAACTGAGGATTCAGGACAGCTGCAAGATGTGTCATTCTTCTGGCATGGCTTTCTGGGTCTTCCCGCTCACGGTTTGGCCCAAGGGCCTTGGGCCAAAGCAGCCGAGGGCCTGCGAGTTAAGGGGAAGTCAACATGCAAACATAAAAAAAAAATGGAGAAAAAAACACGTCGAAACCTTTGCCTGCTTCTTGTACTCGTAGACTGATACAGAAACCAACCGTCCAATATGTTTCAATCAGGATTTGGTTGGCGGCTGAGCAGATCTTCATCAGTGATACCCTGAACAGCCCCATGCACTGCTTGTTGTGCTCAAGGCTCAGATTACATTGGACATGGAAAATCTGGACACGGTGGTCCCTGCGCTTTGTGCAGACCGAGACAGTAGAGTTCAGGTGCGACAAGTAGAGCCTCCTAAAAACCAATCCAATCAGAAACGCAGTCCGGTACACTGGTAAGCCGCAAGAGGCGCAGCTTCCATGCGGATGTTGAGTTGTTCTTCTGGGAGCCTGTGCGGCTGAGACAAAAGTACGTAATCTC